TTAATTTTGAATAGTGAATCAATAATTGTGTCATCTACATGTGGGTGACGTGGCAGTTACAATGTTAAAATCGCAGGTCTTCACCTTTAACACTTAAATGACATCGAGGTTCATTAGATCCTATAGTTCACGTTGTGTCCTAAGGTCTAGGTTAGGACCTAAAGTTCAAAGCATCCGCAACGTGTAAACATGCGGTGGGATTCCTCTTCGTTACACGTCGTTGCAAATATGTAGCTCGAAGAAATAACGCGTAAAGTCCCAAGAGTGGATAGATACTCTCAGGAGCAACCGTAAATGTTATCGATTCATTGGACACGCATTATTTTCACGTGGGACGTTTAGAATCGCGAGTGATCGGTCTGGGTTAGTTTCTAACTCTCTAAACTAGTCTAAACCGTGTCGACCGCATGGTTGTACCTTTCCCGAATGTTTGTGGATTTATATCCCGTAAGACGCAGGCTCACGAACGGGGATCGACTTAAAATAACTCGACGAGCCCACCGTTGTTGAAAAACTGCCGCCGCGTGTCGTTCGAGTGTGTTTCTCTTGGGTTCGATAATTAGGTATAATCGGCTGGAAATAATTGCGGCTCGGTCGCGTAAGTGGCTCGTTGCCGCGGCTTTGTCCAAAGATAAGTATCAATTAAAGACCTCGAGAGGATCTAACAATGCCTCTCGAATCGAATTTTGACGATCTTTCTCCCTCTTTCTCGGTCTCGTTCCCGGCGAAAGGAATTGTAGGCCTCCCGCGCTCAGCTGGTGAAAACACGGCAATTATTACGTCGAGCGAGCAACGTTTAGCTGCCGTTCCGAATCTTATCGTTAGAAATAAAAGATTCGTAATACTCGACGTTCCAAACTACTTTCGGTCTCTCTTGTAAATTTTTCTAGTTCCACGAAAGCAGTGAACTCTCTGATCGTGATCGAAGAAAGGTTGCGTGTTCGATACGACATCGATAAGAGGCTTTTACTCGAGAAACACATTTTTCGCGTAAAAGTTAATTACCCTCATGGTTGTACGTTGAATGCAGAGCGGAAAAATACCGACGGGCAAATAGCACGCGAAATTCTTTGGAGATTTTCCGGAAATGTCGATGGTGTGAAAGAACGAGGTAGGAAATTCGTAGGCGAGTCTCATTCGTTTAAACGGCCCTTTGGGGAAGATAGATTGGACAGGAGCTATTTTCGAGGGGAGCTTGACGGGACCGCCTCGGGTAAAAAAGTGTGACGTTAATTAAAGGCTCGGCATAAATCGCAGCGAACGCCAAAATGCTTTTCGCCGTGCAACGTTGCGAAGGCTCTTCGTTCACATTTCAGTTTCACAGCGGGTCACCGCGCGAGACAACTTTGTGTCTTCTGGATCCAGTAGTACACGACGAGCATACACGTTCGTTCCGTCCGCCTCGTGTGTCCGATGAAATCCCAACGAGTATGTTTGCCTTGAAAATGGTATTTTAACAACCGTATACGATGTTTGCGAAAAAGATTTTCTGGCTCCGGAATATTGGGTATCGTGGAACATGTCCCCAGAAAATCCCCGGTACTTTTTTCACCTGCCAGGAATGGAGTACAATACGGGTACTTCACGTTGCAATATTAAACCTCGTAAAATACGCTACGGCGAGCAGAAGCTTTTACGTCGCAGAAGGAACAAAGTATACTCCTACGGAAATTGTGCCGTGTAATCGAGAAGATTTGATACAACTACAGAATAAAAATGTAGGAATAGTAGATTAAAATACGCATAATAACATGTCAACAGTGTGATCTGGCTCCTGTGAGTGAGAATCTTAAAGAGATAACGAAGATTAACGAGTCAAAGTGATCCGGCATCCGTGACGTGAGAATCGAAAGCGAAAGAACTCGTTTTTGCGATCGATATATTTTTTGTTCTTCTCTTGAAGTTCGATTTCGAATGGATTGCAAGCGTAAAGAAGAGAACAAATACTGTCCCCCTGATCGTTTCAGTGTCCTAAGCACGTAGTACGCTTGCACGTGTAGCAAGCAGACGACGGTGTTATTTAACGCTGCAGCTATTTCCAGGTGCGTACGCCGTGTCGTCGTCAGTGTCGAGTGCTACTCACCGACGAACTACGACGCCACTCGTGCTGCCTTTATACCACTTAATCTCCTTTCACCTAGGTTCGTCGAAACGAGTAATTTTTTAGTGGCACTCCTTTTACTGCCATTTTCGACCTCCGTTTAGCGGCAGTCGCGAGGGAGGGGAGGAGAAGGGGGATTTTCAGCTTAATTCCACGCATATAGAGCGAAACCAGGTTCGAAGCGTTGCCAGCGAAACGCGCTACGGATGCTTTTAAAGATGCAAACGAACTGATTGCCGCCTGAATAAACTGGGGGCTCGCAGATGTTGTATCTACCATGAGACACGTTTACTATGCAACGGGAATTGGAAAAAGCAAATATAATCGAAAGCAGTAAAAAGAAGATTAGTAAAAAAACATTTGACTTTTTGTAATCGTCCCAACGAGGAGGGGTATCCTAGAACACATGGCAATTTCGTAAAGAGGTTTCTCGTCATTTTTCGTGAAAAAGAAACTAATTGTAACATCGACCAACGACTTTCCAAGTAATTCCCTCCAGATTTCCCGAAGCCGTTCAGAGGACACGTGAACGCGGGCGCGCCAGACGAGCAAATCGAACAAAAACTCAGCACAGTTCAGATCTCTATCTCGCGGGCAAGAAATCGCGAACAATTTTACGCTGGTGGGAATATGACAGAGCCCGTTAAACTGCGCGTGCAATCTTTCCAGACGGATTAGCTGAATCGTTCACTGTTTTCTCGACTCTCGGTTTACAGTAGCCGACGTTGTTCGAGCCGGGAGGAGATCTTGGAAACGCCTCGGCCGTTCGAGAGGAGGAGCCTTGGATAAATCGCCGCCGTGGCGCGGTGCAGCGCGATGAAAAATGTTGTCCGATCTGCTGGATCGTTACCGGGAATCTTTATCCGAGCTCCGTCTAGCCGTGTAATTGCTCAATTAGTCGATTTTGTTGGCGGCCGTTTCATTGGCTGTCGAGTGGACCTACCGGGACGCCTTCGGATTAGGAATTAAATCGACAGTTGACGTCGTTCACTTTAATTAATTCGGTAATTAATGAGATAACGAACGATATGGCGATTGCCGTTTTCGATCGGTTTTCCTTCAACTCCTTCCTACTGGCGTATGGTCATTCGAAAATATATATTTCTACCTGGGTTCAGAATAAAACTCGTAGTCAATGATCTTTGCTATAGTGTCATTCAAGAGTCTTCCAATCCAAAACTCTTTAACCCTTGGAATACTAACGGTCCCAGTAATTTCATAGACGACGATGACATTCATCATTCTCACTAGTGCAAATATTTCAGACCGGTTTTCTGTCATCAGCAAATCTACCATGAATAGAAAATTTATGCATTAACCTTCCCCAAATGGATGTAAACAGACATGTTTCTGAGGATTTAGAGGAAACTTGCTATCATCGCATTAGCAACACCTTTTCCATCACAAGCCAGATGTCGACGATGTGGATGAACATAAAAGGAATTGAGACGCGATAATTCTACGTTTCATTGATCTTCGCTTACGTAAGAGGATAAAAGTTTCCCGCAAGGTTTACGAGAAATCGAATGCGGATTGATGATGAGATCGAGAGAGACTTTGAGCCAGACGACGAGCAGCCACCGAATGCTCAGATACGCGAACCCACACACGTTAGCCGTTTCTAATGGCGAAGGTTGCGGGCCGGTTTGAACGGAAACGCAGGTGGATATTACGCGATGGTTGTACATTACACGAACCTGATGAGTATACCTCTCTGTGTACCTTGCGATTAGAAACGACCTCAAAGCGATATGCGTTTTTCTTATCTCGAGCGACACGTTACAAATGTTTACGATGATAAGACAGCTGGTTCGTGCTCATTCGCGGACAACTGATTTCAACTATTGTATTTTCCAACTGTATGCGTTGCTCGAAGTAAGTCCTTGTATCCCTTTTGTTAAATATAAATAAATAAAAGTAGCACAACGGAACTATTCACTGGACAGAAGATCGGCCTGGCACGATATATACTTCAGTACTTCATTGTAGATTGCATCGATATTCTTTCGGTGGTTCCAACGAATGCACGATAATAAAATCATCCAATAACTCGCTGTATAGCATCGGGTCCACCGTATTATTATACATTCTGTTTACTTGGAAACTTCGTGGTGATTTGAAGCTCTGCAGTGTATTGCAATATGCGTTCTTTCTGTTTTCGTGTCCTTGGAGACACATTACTTTTGGAGTTGAATATTACGTATTCACTCGGGCAGAATTCTTACCTCTGGAGCTACTCACGGGGGACGTACTCGCGTTCGTAAGAATTAGAATTTGGCGAACTACTTTCGGTGTTCCTGCAACCACTATAAAAATATCAGGTGAACCCTCGGTTTGGTAAGTGGAAAGAATCACACGATGATACAGTTCCTTCATCGTATAGAATCATTGGTTTGATTCTATTGCTGCGCACTGGAACAAGAATTCGTAATAGCTCATCACTATTCAAGAACGATTCCCTTGATCGTAGATCGATCGTCCTTCCGCGAGCTTTTCAACGATCCGTTTAACTCAACCATTCTTGCCATTTTCGAGTATCCACGTCCCAACTGGGTGTTTCTAGCAAGGTGAACAGGAAATCCGAGTAAGCAACACGGTTTCACACATGTTGCGTCCTTCCCGAGACACTTCCTCGACGACGAACATTGAAAGTCAACGAGTAATTGTAGGTACTCGCGTAACTTGCGCGGAAATGTTTGAAACCAATACCGCCGAACGTCGGAGAATTTCGTTCGAGTGGTCCGGATCGGGCATTTCAGACGTTGAATCGAATCTTTTCCAGACGCTTTAAAAATCCTTGAACCGTCAAATTGGACAATGTCACATTCTCCGTGAATACCATAACCGAGTCTCTGAAAATGGTTATTTTTGTTGCAGGTTGCGTTGGACGCGATACTCAACCAGAAACCCTGTGGTAAGTTCTCGAGGATTCTTTGTTCCGCTTCAGCCATCGGACTCTATCAAAGATCCTAGATACGGTTATTATGGCGTGTTATATACCTCGAAGAATTCGTTGCTTTTCCATTATTTGATGGAGGGAAATTACGATAAATATCGCAAGAATTTCCAAAGTTTTCAGACGTTGCATTAACAGGAACTTGTAACAAAATGGACGGTAGGTAAACAGAAAATGTCGCCCTGTAACTGATCGTACAACCTGATAGGGGGTGATCCTACGTGAAAAAATAAGTCGTAAATATAGAATAACATGTTTTCATTCGAGGCTTCGTTTCCGAAGAAATCGACTGGCTGGATACGTCTGTCCATTGCATTCCGTTTCTACTTACTATCCTGAAGAACACACGCGTTTCAGATCAATCTCTAAAGTCGATTTTCTCGAAAACTAAGTCTCAAATGCAAAAATTTTATTTTATATGGTGGATTTATTTTTACACGTAGAATCACCCCCACCCAGATTTACCACCAGTTACACGACACCCTGTATATATTCGTTTAAGTCACACTTTTTTTTTTAGTAAGACTAGTAAAAATGTCGACGTAATTTCAATTTCGATTCTACAACAACGTGTATACATGTATGGGCTCGAAGAGGGCTACTGCCACTGTTGGGTGGAACGTAAAGAAATGGAAAGGAAAGGAAAGGAAAGGGAGGAGAGGCAAGGGTCGAGAAAACGGGTCGATAATCCGTAGGTTTATATTCCTGTGCAGTCTCTGGTCGGGCGTCCGGTCGTAGAAAATTTATTTGTCTAGGCCCGGCTCGTAACGCTTTTACACTCGGACGTGGATCCACCAAATAATTCGTCTCACGTTTAAATAATATATCGCGATTCCAGCGCTGTTCTTCCATGACAGGACCCTGCGTCTATATTTTTGAACGGTAACTCGACTCGACTTCGGTAGTAAACCGGAGGTTGGCTTTTACGGCTTTCCCTTGGCGAAGGTAGTCTTCCCCCATAATAATCATTCGTATGGAAAATATTTTTCGACGCGTTACGAGTTTCGTATCCCTCGTGTAAAGTCGGAAATTTCTCCCTCGTTCGGAGCCATCGAAATTTCACGCGGTCTTGAACTACGGGAACGAAACTTCCTAATAATAATAGTAATACGACTTTATCGCACAATTTGCGCATAGATAAAATTAACGTTCCGTATTTGACTGCTTTGTGTAGAAAGTCTAGGGTACGGCTAGAATATGGCCGTAAAACCCTGCGTTAAAAAAATACATAAATATAAAATACATAATCTGGGAAGAGCTCCAGGACAAAGTTCTGCCGGGTCTGAGGGAGTTCCAACTATCCTCCGTTCGCTTGTTCTTCTTTTTTTAGAACTTTGAAAGTTTTTTATAATTGGAGCGAAATTATTCATTCGTAATCTATTTTACTCCCGACAAGTTTGAATTGCTTTCGCACGACCCTCGAATCGTCGAAATTATTTCGTGATTCGCGCCGCTTTGTGCGCCCTCTCCTTCGTAAATTTCCTTGCACGACGGCGGCCACCTCTAATTTACTTATCGTCGCGAGCTGCGCTAGGCGGAACCGTATCGCATTTAGCTCGTTATCCGAGGACGGGTAAACCCTGTCGGGTAGGCGAAACGAGGTAACGTAAACATTACTGCGTTGCTTCAGCTTTCTCGGCTTCAGCCGTAATCTTTGCTCGGCAAACACTTCTCGTGGGAGATACCTACGCAGATCGCGTCTCGTCCGCTCGATGAAAAGGACAGACCGAGGCCTGGCCGGCGAGTTCAGTTTTTTTTTCTTATTAGTTCTGAAAGGTTCTCAGGGGGTGGGCGATCTGAGAGACTCCCTTGGAGCGTCATCCTAGAATTTTCGTGTCCTCTATTTGGTCTTCCATCAGCGGAGGGGAAAGTTTGTTCGTGAAAATGAACTTCCCTCGCCGTCTTCTCTGTTGGCATTCTCGATTAACGCAGGGATCGTGAAAGCCGACGGATGGGTCAGTCGTTGCCCGTATTAAGGCCGACTACAGTCTCGCCTGGTCACTGTACACGTTATCGTGTTAGCGTCGCCGAGTTGCTCGTAGTCGTGCGAACGCGAGGGTTAATCTACGGCGTGACCGTGGAATTCTCCTTCGGCGTGGTAGAAGAAACTTGTCCAGAGTTCAGGATAGGGTCGTAGAAAAAGCTTCGGACGTTTTCAACGTAGAATCGAATAATACACAGTTCGAGACGCAACGTCTGCTCCCGTTGTGCTTTGATTACGGAAGCCTGCTGCGTCGATCTATTCGTATTTGTCGAACTACGGGTAGACGTCGTTAGAAGCCAGTACGGTGTGAAGTGTACGGTACAATTCTACGCTGGATCGTAATCTATGGGAAAAGTAGACATTCTCTTAGGGGGCCTTGAACGTTTCTACGTGATACTTTTTCCTGATCGAGCCACGTTTTTCTCACAATCTATTACCCCAAAGCTCCCTTGTCCGGACACATTAGTCATTTCATTTGTTCGTGTAGTAGGTGTTTCCCCTGCAGGCTCTTTTTCCATCCGACAGTGACTATAAAAATAATAACGTTGGATCAAAGTACACGTGTTGGATAAAGATTGCGAAAATTGAAGAAACGAGAGTTTTTGCAACCAAGCCGTGCTGCCACGGCAAAGACGTATCCTTTCGTTTCGGGAACGAAGCAAAAGCCGTCTATAATTTTCCTATTAATCAGAGCGTTAACCGATGGTACGCGCCGAGGATAAAGAAGTATGGTAATGATCGTGGTATCGCTGAAAAGCATATTTTCACTGAAAACCGTGTTATATCTTGGCAATGTGTAGACTAATTGATGGGAACTGGAGAAAATTCATGCATCGAATGCGAATTCTGTGTCAGAAAATAATGAAATTTCGAACAACAATTCAAGCTTACATTTATGGTCGACTTTTACACGACAGCCCAACCCGATTGGCAAATTATTAGACAGTGCCAAAGAAAAGGAATTATTTTGTGACCGTGTAGCCGCTTTCAGTGTTGGAGAAGTCGGAGTAAGAGTCGGGAAAAAGTGGTGGATAGATCGTTAAGTTGCCGAGAGCACGGAATTCCCATCGCGACTGCGTCCAATGAAACTCGAGACGAGTCGCGTTGCCAAGTTCAGGGGTTAAGGAACACGCGATGCCACGAGAAATCGGGATTCGAGAGTCTGCGCGTGTAGACGGTGGCGCGCGTCAATTGTTTCCTCTCCCCTTATCTCGGCCAGTTTCTCGTAATTAACCGCGTCGGTGGTAGGTATAGCTGCTTCAAAGATATAGCGTTAGCCATAAACGTGGCCGACCCTTAAACCATTAGTACTCGATCATCGGGGGCCCATTGAGTCCCACTGCACTCAGGGTCGTACGCCATTTTCAGCTATGGGGTTCCAAGGAATAAAACGAAGAAGACTGTAATATTTGAAAGAAATTTACGTTTTCGTAAGCTTCCATCACGAATAAAAGGGCCAGAAGTATTTCAAATCTGAAATTAGTACGCTATAAGAACTGTTTAATTACATTAAAACAAAAAAACCGATCTCAAATTGACGTTGTACGCTCCTGAACGATGATCGAGCATAGTTTTTACAACTCAAGGGTATCGAGTAGACAGGATTAGGCTATCGAAACATAAACTTTAGGGTCGGTCAGGTTTATGGCTAACGCTATATCTTTGAAACAGCTATAATCGGTCAATCACCGACAATTAATCGCATGCAGTCGCTCCAGCAAGATTCAGTCCGCGAGAGATGACTGCGGCAAGTGAAGTAGTGCACAATTTATTCGTGGCAGGCGATCAAAAAATAAATTTCTGTCTCGTTAACGACAACCGGATAATCTCGAAGATCGCGTTAACCAGATATCATCGTTGATGTGTGACGCAACCACTGCGTAATCTCTCGACGTGGCGCGATTACCTGCCGATGGTTTCACGCGAAATCAGGAAAACGGGAACTTTCTCAAGATTTGTAATTCGGTTAACCTCGAGTTCTCCCGCGTGTATCTTATGAATTCCCCTTGTTGCTCAACCGGTCGTCCGTCGCGAAATCGTCAATGAAACCGGGACCGTCTGTGACACGGAGAAAGTATCAATTAGGAAACAATGAGTGACCACCTGCGGAAAGAAAGTCCAGCGATGAATCTCTTTCGAGGTAATTTCGTACACAAAGGCTGCGTGCGTGGCAATTGATTTCGGGAGAAACACGACGAATGTAACGGGGGGCGCTAAATCGGATCAATGTAGAACATCGACACCTCTATGAACCGTAATAAGGTCCAATAAAGATGATTGTAAGGTCGTTGCGTCTTCTAGAGAGGGCAGGGAGCGCAATCTCGAGCGACTGTAAATGCGTGCTACGATCTCGATTGATGATTTAAACGCGTCTTGTCGACTGCCAATTATACCATCCATGTTTCTTATACTCAAGATACTCCATTCGAATTTTACCCCAATAACTAGGAAACCCAAACTGTTCACATAGAAATCTCGCAATCGAAGATACACTTTTGTCGTTTTGCCGACGCGAGATAAAGTCATTTCTTGGCATACTTTGGCGGTATGTTCGTTTCCAGAAGATTGTAGAGTCTTTCGAGTACAAATATCAATTACCGGAGGCAATATTGCCGGCTCCTGTAGGCGCGTAGACGTGGATCTACCGGGGACCACCGCCGCGGCGAATGCAATCTTCGACAAAGTGGGGAGGGTATGGTAACGCTGCTGCAAGCTCGACCGCGCGATTATCGACGGTGAAATTACTTGCTCGAGGATTTATTCTGTTGACGATCCACGGCTCTGCGAAGGAGCTTCGGTTCTTTTCACCTCTCGCGGTTATTTTAACCGCGAATACCCGACGTCGAAGAAGAAAGAAGAGGTGCAGCAGCGGGCTTGTTGGCTCGCGGGTCACGTTCCTCGGGCTTCTCGGCTCGTCTGGTCTGGTCTCGACTCGTCTCTCGTGCTCGTCTTGTGTCCCGCCTCTGATAATAAG